CTCAAAGTTCAAAGTCATTGATCTCATCAAAACAGTCGAAATTTTCTATGGCAAGATAATGAGATTCACCCGAAAATACAAGCCATTTTGAATCTTATACATTTCTGCTCTCTGAGCTGTGGCTGAACATTTCTTATGATCAACTTGATCGCGATAATAGTTTGATTTCCTCTTCATCTTTTTTTTCTTTTTTTGCTGATGCTTATTTCAGATAACTACGTCTCGTGTTATAGACTACTGGTTGTTCTCTAGGAGGTCATGGATGTACACGCTCAATCTTTTTCTCCTGGGTGGAAGTTAAAGTTCTCTAGTTTATATTCCCGCTTCTAGTTTGCAAATTTTTCAAATTACCAAGTTCCTTTTACAGCTGAATAAATAATTCACTTTTTCCTTCGGATAAATGTCTACCTTAGTGGTATAATTACGATTTAGGCTCATCTGTACAAACGAAAACAGTATTGAAGATTAACATTCCTATTATACACAGATTTGATCGAACTAGGTTTCTCATACCGTAAGATGCCTTCCAGAAACTAAGCAGTATTCCATTGCATTAAGTCACTGGAAAATTTAGTTTTAAACAAAGTATTAAATGACAGGAAAAGTTTATTAGAAACAATGTATTTATTTAGAAGAAAATTTAGTTAGAAACACAGTATTAAGTGACAGGAAAATTTAGTTAGAAACAAAGTATTAAGTGACAGGAAAAGATCGTTAGAAACAAAGTATTAAGTGACAGGAAAAGATCGTTAGAAACAAAGTATTAAGTGACAGGAAAAGTTCGTTAGAAACAAAGTGTTAAGTGACAGGAAAAGTTCGTTAGAAACATAGTATTGAGTGGCAGGAAAAGTTCGTTAGAAACAAAGTATAAAGTGACAGGAAAAGTTCGTTAGAAACATAGTATTAAATGTTTGGAAAATTTCGTTATAAACAAAATATTAAGTGACAAGAGAATTTCGTTAGAAACAAAGTATTAAATGACAGGAAAATTTCAATAGAAACAAAGTGAAAATTCGTTCGGAACAAAATATCATGTGACAGGAAAAATTTGCTTAGAAACAAATAAGAGAGATGATTTTTTTATACTATAAGTGAGCAATATTTTAAATATAAAAATAAAATAAAATAGAATGTGATTTATATATACAATCAAAATAAGACTGCTGAAATGTCTTAAAAACATATTGATTGGGAGCTTGAGATTCATGTCATATACTGAAGGCAAGAAGAGCAGAAGGAGATATTGAATTACCTCCGTAAAGAGAGGTTCAAATGGTGTAATGGTTAGAGCCCCGTAACAAGAAATTGGTGCACCAAGTTCGAATTCCGAGATCGTTGCATTCAATCTCGCAGACATACTCTTGGGAAATGTATTAATCCATCTCTTCTCCATCCATGTATGAGTTAAATAGTAGCGCAGACTAGGAGAAAGTCAACACTGTATTCAAAACAGTGGATCTAGTGGGATACATAATTGAATTTTAATTCATTCTCTCTTAGTATAGTTGCAGTTTAAGCCACATGTTGGTCATGTGGGTGTTGAAGAAGCACGAATATGCTTGAGTGGATGGTCATGCTCGCAAATGAGCAACCATAGTTGAACTGTAACTAATTTTCGCTCAGCATAGTTGCAGTATAAGCCACGTGATTGCGCTGTAGGTTTTGAAGAAATTATAAAGTTTTAGCTTATTATTTAGTTAGTTCTTTATTTGTTAACATATTAATGCCCGCCATAAAATCTGGTATTAGTTATAAAAATTAAATAACAAGTCTATATTAATTATAGGCCTATAAACAAAATCTGGTATTAATTATTGACTTCAACCAATAACACATTAATGTACACCATCTAAAATTAGGACTGTTAGCATTATTGGATTAAGTACTTGTCTTTGTAAAATAATGCTAATTCCTCATCCCCAACATTCAAAAAACTCTAACGTTCTTCGTTTGTTCAGATTAAATGGCTTTCTCAAACTTCGATTAATATATCTCATGATTTTTCAGAATTATAAAATCGTTTCCTTTGATCTTTATTCGTGATATAACATGACGTGAATATATGAGCCAACAGTTATGTGTGGGAATGCTTCGGTAAATAAAAACCTTTTTGAGAAACAACAATAAATAAAAGGGAAGCCAAAAGCTCTCCTCGTCACCCATTCAATTTCACATTCTACCAATTACATTGTTTTGTCTTGCAAAGAGGCATATGTAGAGGCACCAGCAAATATCTGACCACTCTCAAGACTCAGATGATGCCAACTCAGTTTCTTCTCAAAATTCTTCCTTTGTAAAACAGAGACTTGAAAGGATGCTTCCCCGTTCATTACGATCTTAACATCTGTACGCTTACGATCAACCGTTACCTATCATACATATCCTCACGTCTTAGGCTTTTTACTCTGAATTTATAGGCTTCAACCAGCAAGCCTGAATCCAAACTGTCTCAGGGAAATCAATAAAATCTGGCGAATCCTTTACATTCCAAGGAAGTGAAATCAATTCTACAAAAAGGGATGTGGAAATTCGCATAGCTGAAGACAGGTCCGCCTTGAATAAAATGGATATAATCTGTAAATCTCATCTTCCTATCAACCTCAAATAGAGATGCTTTCGAGACATTGTAGAGGCGGTTTTAATGTATGGTACCACTACTTGTACATTAACTAAAATCCTAGACTCTGTGGTTGACGAAAATTACACTCGGATGCTGAGAGTAATATTTAACATCTCTTGAAGACATCCAACTAAATCACAGCTCTATGGACCCATCTATACGCTTGTATTTATACAATCTTACTCGATAGCAGAATGCGAATTGCTGGACACTGATGGTGAGCAAAACAATAACTTGCGAATCATCTACTGCTCTGGACACCTAGCCATGGTGTAAGATGTGTTGGTCGCCCAGCAACAACCTACATTGACCAGCTATGTTAGGACACAGAACGCACAGACCCTAATGACCTTCCGACCTTGATGAAGGACCTTATGGTTAGCGGGGTAGACTCATGACTGTCCGAGTTCGCTCACCTGAATAAAAACATTAAAAAATTAGGATGCTTATAATATTTGACCAATTAGTGTGTAGTGGAACAATTTCTTTAAGGAATGGGGTTATTTAACTTAAAAATCCGCCAGCCCTTAGAAATTAAGCAAAACAGAGGAAAGGTCTTAAGGAAACGTTATGCAGTAATAGGTTATTTTCCTTATTATTATTATTATTATTATTATTATTATTAATGTTGAATATATTTAAAAAAAGAGAATTTCGCTCTGTCCCGAAAAATCCAGAGGGTGGCTGCAGTAGTTTAGCTTATAGATAGATAGATGTACAACATTTTTAGAGAGCTTTAAAACAAAACAAATAAAACATTCATCTACATTAGCCAAACTATGTAATGACATAGAATGTCACACTATTGACCTTCCGAATTTGTTGCAAGACTGTGATGGTTGGCGTCCTAGACTGATGAATAGCTCGGCCGAATAAAATGCCTTTTACGACAAAAATCTTTTAATAACTGTCTAGCTTGAGTTGCTCTTGCGCTTTGTATTGGGAGAACAAAAGAATTTTCTTTTTTGATCTTTTTCGAGTTGTTTCCATTCTTCAACTATTCCTTCCCTCCTTTCTTTTGCCTTTTCATTGTTTCTCTATTTTCTGTTTCCTTTTTTTTTATTCTTTTCCTTTTTTCTTCACTTCCTTGCTACCACGATTACTATCCGTTATTTTGGGCACCTCGGCGTGGTGTAATGGTTAGCAAGCTTGTCTCGCTAGATCAGTTACTACTGAAAAGTGAGTTCGATCCTCACTGGGTGTCCCATACTTTCGGCCTTGTGCCACATCTAAGCTACGCTTGGAAAATCTCTACTGTCCGTTATTTACACAGAACAATCTTATTCAGTAGCATTCTCTATTGAACAGCTCTTGAGCCCTGTTTGGGGTGAACATCAGATAGAAAAAATATATACCGTATGTACTCGCTTATATAGATAGTGGGAGGCACAGTGGAATAAGGAGGAGTAATGAATAACGGCTCGGATTGAGGAATCGGAGAGACGAGTTCGAATTCCAGTCGAATCCATTACATTCACTTGCGTGCTTGGGAAAAGTATAAATCCTCTTCTTTCTTCCCCAGCTATGGGTAATAGCAGGACAGGCCAGGTTCTATAGCCTTGGATGGCAACTGGTCTACTGCGGGAAAAAAATCTGCCTTGTCAGTCATGTATCGAAAGTTACATGATCGCTTATGCGTTTATCACGCACGTCACATGACTGATTGATATGGGATAGTTGCAGTATAAACCATAGGTGAGTCTGTGGGTCTGCAGGCGTCTGCAATGGAGATTAGCTAGCCGCCCTAGTAAACTGGCATCCTCGGATTCGAGTGGCTCCGCCATTTAAGGATTTTCATGCAATAATAATGCATGTAATATTCACTTATTTGTATCGTATTATAAATTAAAAACATGGCGAACATGCATCTTTTCCATTGTTTACGTTTATAAGATGTTTCCTTGTTCTTGTTCAGCTTTTTATGGCTGTACGCCTTTACACAACGAGTAGAGCTTTACTAACGATACTTTTACCATTCTCTTTTAATTTTTAACTTATTTGACTAGAAGATGGGATAAAGAGATAGAGGAAAAGGGGTCAGTCTATTGTAATTTGGTCTCTCAAAAAAGGAACTCGCATGATACACGAGATACATTATAAAATTCATTTTTTGTAAGTGAACATTTGGGGGGGGGAATCCTCTATACGCGAAATCGCGCGTTACACGAGTATGTACGTTCTATTCGCATTATGATCTGAATGAATGGCCTATAGTTATTTTCTCTGTAATAATGACGGTCTTCGTAATTCTTATTCTTCCGTGTTTCATGTGCCTTCAGACGTGGGTGATCATTATCCCTCTGCTTCTTTGTAGCTCATAGCAATGCGTGTATTTTTGCTGTCATTCCCACTCCCTACACTGCGATCGATTTACACAAGC